TGTTGATGCGCTGTCACGCAAGGCAAACTACCTGGGTGCGCTAATAACTGAGTTTGGCCTACTTGACGATGTAACTCGATCAATGGTGGAAGCCTACAAGGAAGACCCTGTCACGATGGACATTATACGCAAACTTGAGGCCCAAGACAAGGCCACATCAGATGAGTTTGTGATGGTGGATGGGTTACTCTTTCTTGAAAAGGCAAGGTTCAAACGGTTAGTTGTTCCATCTAGGGAGATTTTGCGTAGTTTGATGACCGTACCAAACACGGACTGAGACGCACAGTTGATTTCTGAGTTTTGCTCACGGACTGAATGCCTTACCAAGTTTCCCGCTTGCTACTAAGTTCTGCATGTCTGTGTGTGTGGGCGCGCTTGCTGGTCTGCATGTCTGTCTGAGTGCTGGTTGGCTTGAGTGTGTGTGTGACCCGCAAGGGTACTTGTCTGTTAGTTGGGCCCTTAGGACCGGTACTTACCTGTGGCCGTGACATTGAGGGATTGCAGCGGGGGGGAAAACACTCAAGTAGCAGGTAGGCGGGTACCGCATTCCGAAGAGGTAGATGTGTGGGTACTGGAGGCCGAGCAGAAAAAGACAAAAGTGGCATTTTGAGAGGCTCAGTAGTTGTAGGCTAGGTCTAGGCGGGTACCAGTCCAACCTGTCTGAGTCTAGGACCTGTACGGGCAATATCAGAGTTTGCAATGATGATTCCCTCCGAAAGGGAGGAGGTACCGGTTGGAAGTCACCGCCCAAGAGGCAAGCAGTCCGCTATATCTCCAAGTCGGGCGAAGAGCCCAGCCTTATTGTCGGTGTGCAAGTTTGGTGACACACTGGTTGGAGCGTTGGCTGGAGCAGCGCTAGCCGGAGCAGCGCTGCTGGGGAAGGAGTAAGGACATGGAGGACGAAGAAGAGCGGGAGAAAGGGGGAGCGCCAGAGGTACTTACCTGGCTATGGTGGCAGCCATCTTCATCACCTTGATGGGCACTGCAGCAGGGATACCCCAGCTGGGGAGAGCTACACCAAGAAGCTTCGAGGCAGAGTCAAGCATGGCGGCCTGAGCTAGAGCAGCCGTAGCTGCTTTGCGTTGTCCTTTGTACTCAGGGCAAGGCCCAAGTAGTCCACCATAGCCTCGGCCTATGAGAGTGAAGAGTGTGGGAGGCAACCATGGCTATGGTGGACCTCAAGTGATACCTGCAGTAGAAGAGGAACTCGGACATAATTCTGGATCAGCCATTCAACCTTGTACTATTATTTCTTGTATCGGAGAGGTGTCCCGAAGACGGTGACCCAGGATTGGGAACAGGATGAGCTTGAAGCTTAGGAATGACCGATCTTTTGTCGGATAGGCTCGTTTAGGTGGAAGGAGTGAATTGGGGGTTACCATCGTCCAACGATCCTGTCAAAGAGACTTTATTGAAAGATTGGACCCCTTTGACCTTGGGGGAACCTTTTCCTTATGTGGTTGAGTACTACATTGCGGTCGTTAATGTGGAATTAAAGGAGAAGGTTTACATATTGGTAACTAGATTCGTAGAAACAGAGAAGTATGATATAGGATATTACAACCGGAGAGGAAGGAGACTGTCGGGGGCGATGTGGGGATGTCGGAATTGGGCTGAAACAATAGCCTACGCCTATAAGAAAAGGTTGGAAAAGGAAGGGAAAAGAGTTAGCCTAGATGTAAGACCAAGGGAATACAACGTGACCCCTAGCCCGCCTATTTCGGACAGTTACCTGGATGGGAGCAACTGGGAACCCATGATAAATATGGTGCTCAAGGCGAGATGCTAGGGAAGGTAAGTAATGAGTGGAGAGAGATCTATCTCGAACGAGGAATTGGAGGGAAGGAGTGAGAGGTTCCTTTCAGGGAATAGGCCATCTAGGGAAAAGTTTGAGGCCGTTTGTGCATCACTAAGTTCATTAGGGAGGAAAAAACCGATTCCGTACGAAGTTGAGGCATACGAGTCGGTCGATAGCGGCTGGGAGCAGATACGCCTTTATGTGATGATCGTGCGATTTCTTGGAACAGTGGTGCGCGACGTGCGGATTTATTACCAATAGAAAGGGAGATCAACCTCGTTTATGACCGATGTTGGGAAAGGGCAAGAGAAGTGGTGGAAGATGAAAGGGATAGATTACTCTCAATAGGTAAGGATGTCGTCTGGAGTACAAGGATAATGACCTTTGAGCGACTGCCGAAGCCTCAGGTTCCTTATAAAGCATTAAGGGATGGGAAGCAAGAAGTAATGATCGAGTTCGTCTTGCGCCACAGGGCCGCCAATGGCCAAAGGAGGAGACTGTAGACCAGAAGGCGGAAACATAATTTGGGAAGGACTGAGGCGAGATCTTGACAGGAGAATGTCCGATGACCTGTACCGGCTCCTAAGGACATGGATCTGGGAAGATCTGTGTACGTTAGGAACTTCGATTTGTAGGAGGATAAGGTGCTCAAGAACCGGGAGGATTGAAATAAGGAGAGGAGGCGCTTGTCTAAATGAGCAAGAAGGCGAATTGTATCTCGACACAGACGTGTTTGGGGTAGAGGGTGAGCATGAGATTAGAGACGATAGAGGAAGGTTGATAGGTATCTTGAGGGCTGTAAAGAGTTAAATTGTGAAAAAAGAGAGGGTTCGACGGGTGGGGTCCTTCCTTTCCGGCCTTGGTCTCCACGAAGCAGGGAAGCTGGGAGATTGAGTAGAGCAGAGACGAAAAAGCTCCTAGATTCCCTGAACTCGGTGTCCCATAGAGAAGTTTTCCCATGCGTAATAGCAAGATATGAAGCCTTAAAGGAACTTGACTTGGAGCATGACAGTCTTCATGTGCTGACCTGCTACTCTATTGATCTTAACGAGTACGACACGCGGATCTACGTGCAGAAGGTCAGGTATAGGGAACGATGATATGGTAGTTGATGGAAGCGAGCAGTAGGGGGTTGTCCTAGAGGAGACGAGAAGATTGGAAAGCGAAGGTGAGATCCACGTCTGGAGCACGGACGTTGTGCCCTTTGTGGGAATGCCCAAAACCTAACCTAGTTAGACTGTGCTCTGAAGAAATGGGTGGGGAACTGTGATAGAGTTTGTTCAAATAGTTAAGGAGAACGGGTTGACGAGTGAAGATTCAAATATGAAGGAGAGTGATGTCGGGGCCCACGACAACGAGGTAGAAATCAATAGAGTATCTTTCGCGGGCAGGTTAACGCCAATTATTCGAATCAGGACGACGCAATCGTTGGACGATCGAGGTGGACGACGTTTAGCCGAAGAGACAATTGAGAGAGAACGACCTAGATTGCTTGCTTTAGTGGGAACCGAGAGGTACATAACCTACGATGTAATGGTCTGGTCGCAGGGATGGCTGAAACACGAAGTGGAGAAAGACGACACCATCCAAGAGGCACGATCCCACGTGTAAGAGGAAGTGGCGAAAAAGTAAACTCGCTTGTTGAGATGTATCTAGATCCAATCAACGATAAAGTGGTGGAACTAGTGGATGGATACAAGGACTGGTGTGGCTCGACGGATGAACCGGGGCTTCTTGCACTCGAAGAAAGAGTAGAAGAATTGACTCGAATCTACAAGGAAGAGAGAGAGAGAATAATTAATTGGAGGGAGGAGTTTCTGGCTAGAAGAATAAGGGAGATCCGTAGCGAGACTATAGAGAGAAGGGATGGCTAGTAGTAGAGGAGTGGACAAAAAATATCAACTCATAGGTGGGGCGAAGATAGAAGGGTCCTTAGTCCGAGCAAGAGTAGAGGTGATACATGACGAAAGGTTAAGCCAGGAGGAAGAGGCTGAATCCACTAGAAAGGCTATTAGGGAAGCTAGGACATGTGCTATCTGGAAAGCGGCAGACGAACTTAGGTCAACTAAGATTGAGATTCACACAATACCGTTTGAAGGGGAGTCGATTTATCGAGAGTGGCGAGAGACCATAGCAGAGGCAAGAATAAAACTAAGGGAGGACTCCAGAGAGTTCGAGGAGCTTTCTAACGACATAGTCGACGGTGTTTCATTGAGAACTTTGGAAGTTAACTCGCGCTATTCAAAGGCCCTGTTGACCACTGCTCTAGTTGTCAGAGCCGAAGGAAAAGACGCTGACTTCGAGGCCTTGCAAGCGATGCTAGAAGGTTCAATCAAGAGGATTTTGATCGTATTGAACCGAGTGTCGAAAAATTAATTGGAAAGAATGGACGCAGATGGAGTTTACCTGACTTCGATAGGGGGTGAGGTAAGAACACAAGAGTCAAGGACTAACAACCCTGAGAGAAAGATGGGCGTGAAACCTATAAACGATGCTGAAAAACTAAGAAAGGCCTTAAAGGAGTTGGAGATTCGGGCCAAAGAGCTGGAAGGGAGAAGTGAAAGAGGTGAAGGTTGGAGGAGAGAGGTCTTGACTAGACCCAGCGCACCTAAGTTTACTGATTCAAGGGTTAGGGAGCCGTGGAGAGAAGTTCCAGGTGAGCCTTATAGAAGGAGCCATTACTCAACGACGTATGCGTCAGGCTCCTATGTGCCTCCTTTCTTTGGACCTCCTGTGTATCAACCACAAACGTTGACCAGGATCCAAACTATCTTCACGGGAAAGAACGTCCCCGAATTCCATGATGATTGAGAGGTTATTGGGATAAGGGGCGAATGGACCAACCAAGAAATGATCGCGAATTTCCTCCACCATACGACAACGAAAATTCACAGAGAAGTAAGAAGCGTCATTTCAGACGATGGTAGGTGGTTGACATTCAGGGAGAGGGTTACCAGGATCTTCGCTTGTGACGAGATCTCTTATTCGGTCGAAGACCTGAAGGAGATGAAGAAAGAGGGAGAGGAGAGTCTGGAAAGCGTTTGCAAGGAGATACGAAAAGTCCTCAAACCCCACTGGTGGAAGGGGGATTTATGGGAGAACTAGAAAGGTGCGGGATATTCCTAGGATCTTTACCACGGGAGAAGCGAGAGACGATTGTGCGGGACCTTCCCTCTAAGGGTGTGACGTTTGCCCAAGTCAGAGTCTTGGCCCACGATACGGAGTGGCAAAGTGCAAAGGCCCATATCCTGAAAGTTCTCGATAACCTAGGAAAAGGAGTGGCAACGGGAAGAGGTGGAGGAAGGCATCAATCTGAAGATAGGAGGCCTAAAGTCGAGGGTAGGGATACCAGTACAAACTTGCCTAGAAAAGGGGAATCCACTAGGGGCGATGGCGAATGGAGGAAGGGAAGCCGAAGAGATTGGAAAAGGAACGATGGAGAGTGGGGGACGTCCAAATGGTCCAACACCAAAGATAGCAGGTGGAAGCCCAAGGATGAGATAGAAGCTAGGAAACCAGAAAGACGTGAGGAGGAAAGGACAAAGGAGATAGAAGTCTTAAAAGCAGCAATGGAAAAGCTGCAACATAATTGTCAGAAAAAGGAGGAACCTCCTATTCGGGTCACTCTGCGACCAGAGGTCCGAGAGAAAAGAGATCCTAGTCCGAGACAGACCTGGAATGATAAGGCGTGTATGTATTGTGGAGACGAGGACCACATGAAGAGGGATTGTCAGGCAATGCTAGATGCGCTAAAGGAAGGTATCATCGAATTAGATGATAGGAAGTATGTGATGTGGGCTGATGAAGGGAAACATGTGCCCTTCTTACCCTCGATGAAAATCAACGTGGATATTCGAAGGAGGAGAATGAATGAAGCAAAGGGTAAACAGGTGCAGGTGCCGACGACGACAAAAGTTTCCCGAGTGAGTTTTGAAGACGAGTGAGGTGAGTCGCCGAAGAGTTCAAGGATGGGGTTTTCCTCCATTAAGTTTGAGGAAACAACGAGCGATAGCGAGGCTTACATATGCACCCAAGGGGTGGGAGAATCGAGTAGCAGAAAGAAAGAGGACCCGGATCAACCGATGACGGATGAGTAAGTAGAGTCACCCAAGTCACCCCAGTCCCCTAGGAAAAGAGCGGCCAAAAAGTTCTAGCTAAAAAGCACATTGGACGAGGTTGACCTGAGGGAGCCATTGAGAAGGGCAATGGAGATGCCCATCCTTATTACCCTCAAGGAATTTATAGCTGGTTGTGGGCCGGCGAGAGATGAATTGATAGGAATGATGAAGAAAGCTAAGGTACCATTGACAGAGACGACGATCTTCGGAGACTCAAAGATGGAGGCAAAAACCTTTGTCTTGATAGCTGAGAAAGGGAAGAAAGAAAGTGTAGAATCCGTTGGAGACAAGGGCGAGTACTTTTTACGTCCTTGGTCGTGGGAAGTTAAGCGCCACCGTCAATGGGGTTAGGATGGAGGCAATAGTGGATGACGGCTCCGAGTCTACCGTTTGTGAAGACAAGGTGGCGCGAAAGCTTGGGCTAGAAGTGGACAGGAGTGTCACCATGACTATGGTATCGGCCAACAAGCTGAGGCAGTCGGCACTTGGGGTGTGCCATAAGGCCAAGGTCATAGTAGATGGAGTCGAGGCCACTGTGCCAGTCTTCACGGTGGAACATTGTTCATCGGAGTCGATCCTTGGGAGGACATGGCTGACGCATGTCAACGCTACCACCGAATGATTTGATAAACGACACAAAATTTCCCTGCAGAGTAAAGGTCAGCTAATGACGCGGAGTTGCCAAATAGTCCCGGAGGAAATAACCCTAGGACCTCATAAAGTAAAATAGAAGAGGATTGAGGTTGAAGATATGGAAGGCAAATATGTGGTAGATGGGGTTGTTTATCCAAAGGAAAGCGACGACGAAGAGTTTGGTGGATGCATAAACCTGTTTTTTTTGGAGGAATTCCCCCACACGGCAGGGGGAAAAGATACAAAATCGTAGCTCAAAAAGTTAAGTCGGTTGCGGTTAGCCGTGACAAGACGGGAGAGATAGGGATCACTAAGGAAGAAATAACTCAGATGATTAGGGAACGAAAAGCTACAGAGGGGCAGAAAATTACTGACGAGCGCTTGAAAGGGATGGTCATCGGAGATGGGAACATAACCGAGGGGGAGAGAGAACTGATAATAGAAACACTAAGAGCATGCGACAAGGCGGTGGCCTTCTCTGACGCGGAGAGAGGGCGAATAGACCCGCGATATGCTAAACCCGCGAGGATCTATACGTTTCCGCATGTGCCGTGAAATGATGCTGGATGGAAGTGTGCTCAGAAGGAAAAGGAGATGATGGTGGATTTCCTGAAGGAAAAAATCAGGACGTTCGTAGCAGAACTGTGTGAGAGTGCCTACGCGAACAGGTGGTACTTCATATGAAAGTCAAATGGGAACCTACAGTGAATACAAGATGTGCAGAAAACCAATAAAGTCACGGTTAGGGATGTAGGGTCCATTCCAAATGCGGATCTCTTATCTGAAGGGTCAGTTGGACGTTCGATTTATTCCATCTGCGATCTTTTCTCAGGATATGATGAGATCCCGCTTGACTATAGGGACCGACACTTAACTGCGATGGACACGCGATTGGGATTAATCCAGATGATGGTGGTGCCAATGAGATGGACCAACGGCGTAGCAGTCTTTCAAAGAGCGATGGTGGCAGTGTTGGGGGAACTTATACCGAATTTGGTGGAAGTTTTCCTAGATGACTTTCCGATCAAAGGGTCGTGCGAGAAGGATGAGACTGAGGTGAGGCCTGGAGTAAGGAAGTTCATCGCAACTCACGGTGAGGACATAAAAAAGGTGCTAATGAAACTAGAAGATGCGAATCTCACGGTGAGTGGGACCAAAAGTAGGTGGGATGTATCTTCCATCAAGATATTGGGCTATATTTGGGACAAAAATGGTAGGAGGTCGGACCCGGCGAAACTAGAAAAACTTATGAACTGGACTACTCCGCTTCGACATATTGCTGACATACAATAATTTTTAGGTGTGGTCGGGTTCTGGAAGAATTTCATAAAGGGGTACGCTGAAAAGGCAGAGCCGTTGAGAAGGCTACTACGTATAGGGGTAGAATGAAAATGGTCGAGTGAACAAGACGAAGCGGTAAAAGTCTTGAAGGATGAGTTGAAGGAAGGAGGTCAAGTCCTAGGTGTTCCTTATTTTAAAGATGAAAAGAGGAGACCTTTTATAGTATGGACCGATGCGGGGTTGGCATCCGTCGGTGGAGTCTTGGCTCAAAAAGATCCTAATGGTAAGGAAAGACCCCTCCGATTCGAGAGCAAAACGTTGAACACCACCGAAAGAGATTATCCACCATTTAAGAAAGAGGTTCTCGGAGTGCTGCATTGCTTGATTGTCTTCCGACATTATATTTACGGATGGAGATTCGTGCTGCTGGTTGATCCAACGACAGTAGCTGCTGTATTACAAAAAGACTTTTCTTTGACAGACCCTACGATTACTAGGTGGCTCATGCACATAAGGATGTTTGATTATGTTGTTGAGATGATATCTGGGGTTAAGAACTCGGTGGCGGATGGGTTGTCGCTGGAAGAAGGAAACTTGGGATTGCCTGAAGGGGTAGATAAGTTTCTGTAGATGGAAATAGGTTCGTTGAAGATGGAGCCTAGTACTAGTGGCGCCTCTCTGTTCCTAGAGAACCTCTATACCGGTAAGTACTACCAAATAGGGAAATATCTCATAGGGGAGGCTGAGGTCGATGATAAGCTCTGGAAGGAAGCTCGGCAATACTGTCTCAAGGCAGGTCACCTTTTTAAGAGGCCGCCTAAAAGCGGTATGGCGATGAGAGTAGTCTGCGATGAGGGCGAGCATAAAGAAATAATAGCGGAACTTCACGATGGGATCGTTGGAGGACAAAGAGGGGTGAATGGCACCTTTGAGAAGGTCAGGAATCTTTACTGGTGGGATGGCTTATATAGGGATGTCGAGTCCTACTGCCAGACGTGCGTGGAATGTCAGAAAAAAAAGTCGTCGTTAAGTACAAGGAATTGTTGTTTCCTTCCTATCCGACTGCGATAGGGCAAAAAGTTCACGTGGGCTTAGTTAAGATGCCCAAAGGTGAAGGGGGAATGAACTATATCATGGATATCAAGGACGACCTTACTGGGTTTGTCGAAGCGTGGGCTCAGAAGACAGGAAGAACAGTTAGTGAGCGTCTGACATAATATATCACTCGATACGGATGTGTTGGGAAGATCGTCATGGACAGGGGGTCGGAGTTCATGGCTAAGGAAGTCCAGAACTTGATCCAGAGGGCAGGAATCCGAGTGTCACTAACCACGACATACCACCCTCAGACTAACGCCCCTGTTGAAAGAGGGCACCAAACTCTAGTGAACGCGCTCGCCAAATGGTGCGGGGGGAATTAGAAGAAGTGGCCAAAGTACCTGAGATTTGCAGTTTGGGCAGATAACATTACTGTTTGGTTCACCACCAGGTACCTGCCCTACACTTTATGGTTCGGAAGGCACTACCTTTTACCCATAGAATTTCATAAGGACTCTTTGACGAAGATTGATTGGGAAGAGGTGTCGACCAGGGAGCAGCTTTTGAGCGTTAGGATTAGGCAAATAGTTGAGACACTCGAGGATAGCACCCTGGACACTATAGAAAAATTGAAAGCCCAAAGGGGAAAGGAAAATGAAAGGTGGGATAAAAACCTTCGAGTTAGGCAGGAAGGAATACCCACTGGGAGCCTAGTCTTACCTACGATTCTGCTCTGGAGAGGACGTGGACTGGGAAACTAGCGAACACATGGATGGGACCCTACCGCGTGATTAAAAGATTGGACGGTGGGGCTTACCTGCTTGAGGAGTTGGATGGAGCTAGATAGAAGGAACCGGTGTCCGATGCACGTTTAAAAGTATTTAAAGAGCGAGGGGAGGTTCACCTGAATATGAAGAAGGAGAAAGGAAAGGAGAAGACTGAGGAGAAACCGGTGGAACCTCCAGAAGAGCCCCCGACAGGGCCTATGAAGGGGTTTAAGCCGTCCACTTATGAGAAAGGAGAATCTTCGAAAAGGGCTACAAAAAGGAGAGGGAACAAAGTCTTAGGTGTCAGAAACAGATAGATAAAAGGCAAAAGGAAAATAAAACGAAAGGTCTTAGAGTCAGCCGCGTTAAGGCGAGAGAGGAAATGCAAGGTTAAGAAGGTTATTAAAGGCAGGGTAGCAGTAGGCAAAGATGGGGATGAACATCGCGATAAGGAGAGGCAACGAAAGAGCAAGAAACGATTAGTAGTTGAAAGGAAGATGATTAAGAAAAAGCGGGACTAGAAAAAGAAGCGTTAGAAAAGGACCCGACGAAAGCGGTGAGGACGATCTTGGGGTTGATTGGTAGAGATTTCTCTTTCCACTCGATATACCGACATGGCTCGTCAGGGACATCGAGAATGGGGGGGGGGCTACTGTCGGGCGGCTCCAGCCTTACGTCGCCCTTTACTTCCTTGATAATGTCACCTTACGAGAGGTGGATCAGGTTGTTTTATCTGAAGGAAGCATAATCGACTTCGAGGAATTTCAACATCAGGCCGCGCCGCGGGCATCGAGATCAGGGCGCCATAAAAGAGTGGGCATTGGGTTCCGGGTGGTCAATCTCTGGTGAGAATTATTGAGGCTTACGACTGGTGGATCATAAAAGCAGATCGGCTACGGAAGAGATGTTGGAGGTTCCAGGAAGATCTGGGCACGAGAACACGGTATCTATGCTCAATGGATGGACGACGACCGAACCAAGGCAGTGAGATTGAGCTTGAGACAAAACCTCCGACGAAGTAAGCTGTAGCAGCACCAGGATTCACCGCGCGACCGAAATGGAATAAAACTGCTAAGTGGCCTCACTTGGGGCCTTGGCTTTCGGTCCTAATCTAGGGCCTGAAGCAGGGAAAAGGGCCCATGGGTTTATAAGTCCACTACTTCGGTTGGCCTGTGGAAATTTGTGGGCCTCGATGCCACTCACGTGGGGACCACTAGAACCTAGGCAGCTTCAGGCCTAGGTTCGGAATGAGCTCTGGTACCGGGGCGCAGAAAAAGGCCCGGTACCCGACAAAAAGGCCCCCTTCACCGAAAACCCTTTCGGGGGCCCAAACAGGCTCGGGTATAGGCTCGGGGAAGCCACGGTACCGGGGCGCTGCAAAGTTCTCGACTCCAGCGACACACCGGATTGCTGGAGCCTCGTGGAGGTGGGCCCAACAAACTTTATAAGCCCAACTGCGCCCAAGGGTGGGACACTTCCCACTTGCGCACGCAGAGGCCCACAAAAGGAGCTTGGAAGACACGGGACCAACGGAACCTGACGCACCGACAAAGAGGCGTCCCGGGTAAGGAACGCACGAAAGAGGTGAGCGGTAAGGGAGGAGAGGGTGAGACAAGAAGCGCACGTGCACGACATAGCCGCGCGCGGAGCGGACACACGGGCACACCACAACGGGCGACTCCATGCGTGGACCGGGTGATCGCGCGCACAGGGGCACAACTGCGCACACACGCGCATCTGGATGCACATGCACACACGCGTGGAACAGGGATCGGGGTGCGAAACACCGCGCGCATCAGCCCGCGCTCCTGAGCGGATCGGGACACGGGAAAGTCCCGCGCACCAGCGCGCGCCCACGCACAGCGGAACGGGACGCGGGAAAAGTCGCGCGCACCAGCACTCGCTCGCGCGCAGCAAAAAGGGACGCGGGGAAAGTCGGGCGTGCCCGCGCGCAGTGGATCGGGATGCGGGAAAATTTGCGCGCACCAGTGTGCGCTCGCGCGCAGCGGAAAGGGACGTGGGGAAAGTTACGCGCACCAGCGCGCGCCCGCGCGCAACGGATTGGGACGCGGGAAAAGGCGCGCCCGCGCACAGCGGATCGGGACGAGGGGAAAATCACTCGCACCAGCGCACGCCCGCACGAGGGCGCGGGGGAAGTCGGGCGCACCATCGCGCACCCACGCGCAGCGGATCGGGAAGTAGAGAAGTTGGGATCGGGCCAGGGCAGTCGCGTGCCTCAGCACCCAACCGCGAGCTATCGAGACCGGTGCACAGGATCATCCGCGAGCGGAAACAGCCAAAGGATCAACCCCTTAGGGACCTGACGGGACACCTCGACGGACCGGGCTTCAGTCTGGATCGAGACTTGGTCAACGGACCAGGCTTCGGATCAGACCGGAACTTCGGGGGGACATTGGAGTACAGGCGGGGACTTCTGGGCTAACACGGGCATACGAGATCAGGTCGGGACATTGGAGTTCAGGCGGGGACTTCTGGGCTAAGACGGGCATACGAGATCAGGTCGAGACATTGGAGTTCAGGCGGGGACTTCTAGGCTAAGACGGGGCATTTGAGATCAGGCTGGGACACTGGAGTTCAGACCGAGACCTTCGGGCCAAGACGAATATTTGGGATCAGGCTTGAACCTTCGAAATCAGGCCGGGACCATCAGACTCAGGCCGGGCTATCGGATTCAGGACGGAACATCGGACTAGGGCCGAGAGGCTCGACGGTTGGACTGGGAATCGAGGGTTCAAGCCGATGTTTTCCTTTGCTTCTGATCGAGATATTCGAGATCAGGAGAGAGAACGTCAGAGATCTTATTCAGGAAAGACCGTCACGCAAACGAGCTTATGGTGAAACTCGACCTGGAGCTGTGGCCCCAGTGGGCCCGAGAGTCTAGCTCAGATACGGAGAGCTCCAGTGAAGTTCCATGGGATCAGCGGGCTCGCTATAGGCGACACCCTATCGGGCGAAGGATTCGTCCTAGGTTGATGGTGAGATCAGTCGGAACTCAGAGCGATTTCCCTAACTTGGACGTAAGATCTATCTCTGGGGTCGGGAGCAGTGCGGAGGACCCTATCATTTTAGATTAAATGGAAATACACATTTTGTTCCTTCCAGACACTGATCTGTGAATGTCTTGTCGTTGCGTCTTCAGTCATCTCCAGTGCTCATCGAGTGGTATTGGACTAACCATTTTTCTTGCAGGTTACAGGAGCCCCGATTGCCCCTCCCATGGGTGACAGACGTGGGGCGTCACACAGGGTGTGATCGGCGTGCTGGCAGAAAACCAAACCCGGTCGACAACGTGCGACGGTGGCCTAGCAGGTTCCCTGTTAGGGAGGTCTCGGGAGAACTCCGTATTGCTAAGCCGGGGGTTTTCCAACAGGCAGTTGAGGACCACTGTGCCCACGTGCGTAGTAGACGAGCTGTTCAGGGGAGTAGGAGGTTTGGTCAAGTCCTACTTGACGCTACAGGAGCTTAGTTCTTTCTCTCGTAGTGACCTTGACACCGACTTTATCTACTACTCTCTCTTCACAGGAGGCCTACATTGGGGCAACGAGAGACACCAGCTTATAGAGCTGGTACGGTCTATAGTGCCTATGCCGTACAGGGATTGGTGGAGAGTGGCATCGTTAGAGTGGAGGCACCCCCCGCCATCATACGTGTGGGACCTACTGGACAAAAAACTCAGAGCTAGACCAAAATACGTTGCTTCGCTGGGATGACTCTTTGTAGACGATTGGGACGCCTGGTGGAGCGACGCTCTTTTATCTCCACATCTGGTCGCGCAGTACTACGAGAGCATAGGGGCACCGAGGTACGCCCTAGAGCCGGAGGCGGACGACGACGAGGTCGACGATGAGGAGGCATGTGAGCCTGATTGGGTAGACACCGATGAGGACGATTCCGACTCGAAGGATGATGAGGTAGAGAAGATGGACGAGGCGGACGACTCTGACTCCTACAGGGCAAAGAGGTTGATAAGACCTACGGAGACTGCACTAGGATTCGATATCCCTCTCCCTGTGCGCTTAGACGAGAGCAAGAGGACGTCGATTAGGTACACGAGGACGTGGCTAACAAACAACGTATATCTTTGAACATTAATCTTGGAGAGTCGGGGAACGAGCTCTAGCCGACAGGCTGATCTCAGAGGAGGAGTTAGAAGCTAGGAGAGAAAGGTTTCTTGTTGGGAATAGACCGTCAGAAGCAAAGTTACAACCTCAGCCTGCCGGTTACCGGCTGTTCCCCTACTCTCCAAGATTACTGTCCACATATATACGTCATCTGCTAGCCACATCCTCGTGTACCTAATCGGCGTCCTCTCGCTCTCGTCTAAGTGCACAGGGAGAGGGATATTGAATCCTAGTGCAGTCTCCCTAGGTCTTATCAACCTCTTTGCCCTGTAGGAGTCAAAGTCGTCCGCCTCATCCATCTCCTCTACCTCGTCATCCTCCGAGTCGGAATCGTCCTCATCGGTGTCTAGCCAGTCAGGCTCCCATGCCTCCTCATCGTCGACCTCGTCGTTGTCCGCCTCCGGCTCTAGGGCGTACCCCTGTGCGCCTATGCTCTTGTAGTACTGCGCGACCAGATGTAGAGATATGAGAGCGTCGCTCCACCACGCGTCCCAATCGTCTACAAAGAGTCGTCCCAGCGAAGCAACGTATTATGGTCCAACTCTGAGTTCTCTGTCCAAGAGGTCCCACACGTATGATGGCGGGGGGTGCCTCCGCTCTAACGATGCCGCTCTCGACCAATACCGGTACGACATAGGGGCTATAGACCGTACCAGCTGTATAAGCTGGAGTCTCTCGCCGCCCCACCGCAGGCCTCCTGTCAAGAGAGAGGAGTAGAAATAGTCGGTGTCAAGGTCGCTACGAGAGAAAGAACTAAGCTCTTGTAGCGTCAAGTAGAACTCCACCAAACCTCCTACTCCCCCGAACAGCTCGTCTACTACGAACGTGGGCACAGTGGTCCTCAACTGCCTGTTTGAGTAAGGGAAAACCCTCAGTTCAGCAATATGGAGTTCTCCTGAGACCTCCCTAACAGGGAACTTGCTAGGCCACCTTCGCACGTCCTGTTTCATTTCCTGCCGGAAGAAGTCTATTTGTTCTTGGAGATATCGCTCGGCCCAATCTATGAGTCTGCACGATCTCCAAGTGACGAGAGACAATGCGATCCTCTTTGTGGCTTTGAGACTCAGGAAAAGAAAAGCCTTTACTTCACGCAAGCCAGCTCCTGGTACGAGTCTTCCCCTATTGTCTCTAATTCCGTTCAACTCCCGAAACATCCATAACCAATTCCCTGGCCACAAAAGTATCGATCGCCACACGAAGCAGTTGTCGTTCTCACAAATCGGACGAGAAGGCAGGGTAAACTCCACCAGTTCTCCTTCCAGTGGCTCTGGGCATTCGCATGGCCACCATTCCACCGTGACAGGGAACTCCTCGACCTCTGCTGGGGGCCACATCCACCCAAGCTAGTCTCTCTTTTGGTCTGTAGGATGCGAGGGAATCAGAAGGGGAAGGAAAGGTCAAAGAATCTCCAATATCCTAGGAAACTTTCGACAACATCTACCCTCCCCCCGTTGGGATCGGGTTTGGGACAAGTCCCAAGAAGATGACTGCCTACAGTGGCTCAAAAATGGAGCCCAAAAAAAAAACTGTCCTAAACGCGGGAGCCACCAAATTCCCGGCTCAAATGGAGCCTACATGCCTCTTTCAAAATCCTTCGAATAGAAGGCACGGGCTCTATTCGAGAGAATTATAGCTCTCGATTCCACTCGCGCTGCTCTTACCAGTAGAGTCTAGCTCCCAATCGGAAATTTAATATACGTTTCAATACGGCTTATTCTCTTATTTTAACGCTGCAATTTGGGAGAGTTCAGGTGTATAGAAGGGCTTAGTGCAATTTTAAAACTTTTTACGCCTTTGTTTCAATTTTTTTTTGAATTTTTGGAAATCAATTAATTAAAAATAGATTTAATGGGGATAAATTCTTCTTTATGATTCCTAACTCTACAGTTCAATAAGACAGATCATACAGTAAGATTGGAATGTTTCATCAACTTTTATGACTTTATTACAATTTTTTTTGTAATTGTTCAACATTAATTTGATAAAAATAGATTTAATCAAGATAAATTCCTTTTTATGATCTGTAATTCGTAAGGGTTAGGGTTTGGTGGGGTTTAACAAAACTCAAAGGTTTAAGGGCTTTTAGAATAATTTTTAGGAATTGAGGAAAAATTCGGTAGCATTTCCCTTCCCCCCGTTGGGATCGGGTTCGGGACGAATCCCCAAAATAAAGCTGCCTAAGAAGAATCAAACGAACGATATAAAAACAATCTTCAAAATAGTTTTTATTTAATTTTCAGGTATTTATTCCTAATGTTTCCAATTTTATTAGTAAAATTTCAAATAATTCACTCTTTTTTAAGTTACTTGCGTCTATACCGTGCACTGGCTTCACATAGAACTCGCCCCAAAATTCCGTGCCCCTTGCGCACGCCGCATTCTTAGTTTGGAATTTAGACGATTTTCCTCTTTATTTCCTTTTTGTTGCTTAAAATTTTAAAATTATTTAATTGTTTTTTTGAAATGTCCACCGTCGGTTTCACCAACGAAGGAATTGAAAAATTTCTACCGATTAAACCGCCCAACTTTGGTCTCGGAGTTCTTTCCGCCAAAGCTGCACGGATTGGTAGTTAAAAATAAAACAAACTTTAAAATATTATTTTATATGTTTTTACTTCTAGGGTTTACCCTTATTAGGGTTTTACGTTTTGCGCGCGACCGCACTCGCACCGTAAACCCCGTTCGACTCTAGGAATTTTACGTAGTTAGCGTTTGAGGTTTAAGAAAAAAACTCATCGAATTACTTTTTTTTTTTTTTTTGCCTTTTTTATATTTGAATAAATTACTAAAAAAATTAACAATTTCACTATTTGTTTTATAATTCGAGGTGCTGTTGGGCTCCGCCCCTTCCACATACAATGTCCGTTTTTCCCGAACCAGGTCTCAAAATGTCCGGAAAAACAATTCAGACAACTTTGCTTCTGGCGAACTTCCCAAAATTCTGCACCAATATCGGTAATTAGAATAAGCAAGAAAGGGGAATTTCGGAATATTTTTGAAGAAAACAAAGACAATTATTTATATCAAATTCTGAACATTAGATTTCGTCGCCGAGGGCTTTACAATTTTCGTCTCGGCAAGCAGATCAACTTTGATCTGGGGTCGGCTTCAGGGAAAACGCCCGGATCAGGAGTCATCTGAAAAAAACCTAATGAATTAAAACAAATAAAAAATAATCAGATAATCCACTAATGAGGCTAATTAGCCTGTAGCTGATTAGCCTGTGCACCCCCGTTTGATAGGGGAAGGCCGAGGCCTTGGGGTGCAGTCCCCTCCCCGGCAACGGCGCCAAAGTTGTGAGGAAACCCGGGGACGGGGCGCCTGCTGTTCGATGAAGCCAGGGGCAAACAACGCCTGTCACTCGCTGCGCCCGCTTCGGAGGTCCTCAACGACTGACAGGGGAGCGGGAAGGGTAAGCTTGTATCTCCCCCACCTTTAGCTGATACAAATGCTCCTTTTGTCGCACAGTGATATATAGAGAAGAAAAAAGTGAAAATGAAAATTTTGAAATGCCCTGACCTGCAGATCAGTGATCGGTGCTGTTAGTTTTTTTCAGTTTGTCTATAGTTCACTTAATGAACGAAACGGAGAAAAAATTTTCAACCAGAAAAGATTACTTCGACTTCGCCCCACAGTCAGACAGCGAATCTGGAATTTTCGAGGAAGAGAGGGCAGAGAATCCGAGTCAAACAGGTAGGATAGGGGCACAAGCAAAACTCAACGTGAAAACCCTAGGGACATACTCGCTAGACACACACGACGACGGGAGAACTGAAGAGATGCGGGTGTAGAAAACATAGAGTCTTTGAGCACGGGCTCGCACTAATTCACAGTTTCACACAAGCTGGTCCCCACAGCTCCGCCGTCCTCACATTCAGAAAAGCCTTCTACCACTGTATTCACCACCAGTTGCTCCCGACCTTTCGACTCAGAGCTCTGTTAGGAACATTGTTGGCGGGGTATAAATAACGGGCGATTAAAAAGCACAGTGATGGCTAATTACCAGGGTCTTCCCTGTCGCACCAGCAAGCCTAACTCAGGTAATGTCAACCGTTTGATTTCAGATCATGGCTGCGCGGAACTGGCTGGACATCATTTATAAGGTCAAATATGAATTGCTCCAATCCTTTATGAATCTGTTTCAGAGCTCCGCTGTTGACAAGCCTACCAAAGGACCTGTACAGTTTCCACTTACTAATCTCCCTTTTAGGCAGTTATTCATGATTTACATGGTGTCCGACCTGTCTCTTATACACATCTAGATGTGTATAAGAGACAGCCTGTACAGTTTCCACTTACTAATCTCCCTTTTAGGCAGTTATTCATGATTTACATGGTGTCCGACTGTTCCGTGATCATGACAGATTACTCTCGCCGTACTGCTGAATTTTTCTTGGAAGGAGACCTGACGATCACCGAATAGGCTAAATTCAAATTTTGGGAGTGGAGTAGCTTTGCCTGTATCCGTTCATGAAGCAGCTACTTTGATTGGCTCCGACATCTTCTTTGCACGGGGGCGTATGATCGTTAGTCCATCTTTCGATCGCGGAACGATGCTCTTCATATTACCCGTCTTAATAATTTGCGTTTCCCTTTGACTCATTCTCGAGGGCGATGTTACTCTCTCTCCCACCCTGTCATCCGCACTGACCGCACACTCTCTATGATTCTCTCACACTGGTTCGACCTTGCCTCTCCCTCACACTCACTTCCCCTCCCAGCGACGGGCATATACGCTTTCAGTCTCTCTGTCTCACTCTCCTCTGCGGTTGTTTACACCCAGACGTGGACTCACAGGCGCATTCACTTTGGATTCGCCGTGCTCGATTTAATTCAGCCCTTGTAAAGTTACGCGAACCTGGCCCCAAATTTTGCCCAGGTCCTTTCGGTCGTTGTTCACCGTGAGCGTCTTCACGACTGAGTGCGAGGGGGTGAGAAACCTCCTTTTGGGAGTGACAGAGGGTTGAATCAAGTCGTAGCAAGACGTCCGCTCGTCAAGATCAAGCATGATTGAGTGGTTGGTTACTTTCGTGGGGACATACATTCCTACCCAGTTCAGTCACATCAGAGAGACGCGGCATCTGCTTATTGACGGTTGACTCACACTCTGCACGTTTAAGTCTTTTTCATTCAATCATGTTCCATAATAARTYTCATGGGCCAATCGGTACAATGAATCTGGTCAGATGCACGCCCAGATTTTGCTGCAATTCCAGCACTGAACGACTTAGACTTCCCGAAGATCACT